CCGACTCGTCAAACGTGACGTCCTGAGAGGACAGAACACGACGCGAGGTGGGGTGGTAGAACTGCCACCCGGGTGCGTCAGGGGGGAAGCCAAGGAAGACGCAGGGAACGGCATGGGAGGACAGCTTGTCCGCTGAAGTATCGCGGACAAAAGCTCGAGATCCCCAGACACGGAACGCGGACGCATCGCCAACCTTCCCCGTCCACCGCAGAGTAGGTGTGGTCTCTGGCAAGGAGACACGAGGGTGAAGGCTGATCTGATGCGCAGCGTACTGAACCGCGAACGGCCACAGAAAATGGGGAGCAGCCGCATGGATCATGGACGTATGAGCGACGTCCATGACCATGCCAATGCGGCGCTCAGCAATCCCATTTTGCTTTGGAGAGGCCGGAAGCGTGAACGTCTGGCGGATGCCCTCCGCACAACAGAAGGCCCTCAGGAGGTCGGAGGAAAACTCACCACCTCTGTCGGAGTGCAGACGCAGAACAGGAAGGTCCGAGCCGAAACTCGGCTGCAGGTCGTCAACCCACACGTCAAAGTCAACTGCACGCCCCTCAGCATCAAAGGTGAGAACAGTAGGGCTAGCCATAGCAGCACTAGGAGCAGTAGCAGCAATAGGAGCAGTAGCAGCAGTAGCAGGAGTAGCAGCAGTAGCGGGTGTAGCAGCAGTAGCAGCAGTAGCAGCAGAGGCAGTAGGGCAGTGCAGGGCAGTGCGGCTCAGTAGAGCGGCGCGGCTCAGTAGGGCGGCGCAGCTCGGCAGAGTGGCGCGGCTCAATGGGCGGCGCGGTTCGGCTGGGCGGCGCGGCTCGGCTGGGCGGCGCGGCTCGGCTGGGCGGCGCGGCTCGGCAACTGTCGTCGTGGCGCAGCAGGGCGGCGCGGGTGCTTACCAGGGGCGGGTGCAGGGCCGGGCCGTGACAGCAGGGGCCGCGACAGCTAGGGGCGCGACAGCAGGGGCCGCGTAAGCAGGGGCCGCGACAGAATGGGCCGCGCCAGTAGAGGCGGCGACGGCAGGGGCCGCGACAGCTTGGGGGGGGGCCGCGACAGCAGGGGGGGGGGGGGCGCGTCAGCAGGGGCCGCGTCAGTAGGGGTGGCGACGGCAGGGGGCCGCAACAGCAGGGGCCGCGACAGCAGGGGGCCGCGTCAGCAGTGGGGCCGCGTCAGTAGGGGCCGCGCCAACAGGGGGCCGCGTCAGCAGGGGGGGCCGCGTCAGCAGGGGGCCGCGTCTGCAGGGGCCGCGCCAGCAGGGGCCGCGTCAGCAGGGGGTCGCGTCAGCAGGGGCCGCGTCAGCAGGGGCCGCGACGGGCTAGGGCTGCGACAGCAGGTGGGGTCGCGCCGGCAGTAGGGGCCGCGACAGGCAGTAGGGGTCGCGACCAGCAGGGGCCGTGACGGGCGACAAAGGGGCCACGACGGGCAGGGCGCGATGCGCGCTTCGGGCAGGGCAGGAAAAAAAAAAGTTGTGGTGGGCCCTTAAAAAAAAACGTTCCCACTAGGGAACTTGCTCAGAATACCATGTTAGAATGTGAGCGAATGAATGACTGAACTAGAAAGCAGGTGGGTACATATGGGAAACCTAAAAGTGTTGTACCCTGTAAGAACTATCCCACTACAGCCTAAACAGACTATAGAATATAAGTTTGACAGCGCCGCCCTGCTGGCTGCCGCGCCGCCCTTAGCAGCCCGTGCGCCGCTCTTTGCAGCCCGCGCGCCGACATTTGCAGCCCGCGCGCCGCCCTTTGCAACCCGCGCGCCGCCCTACTGCTGCCCGCCCTGCCTTGCCCGCGCGCCGCCTTTTGCAGCCCGCGCGCCATCCTTTTGCAGCCCGCCGCGCCGCCCTTTGCAGCCCGCTCGCCGCCCCTTGCAGCCCGCGCGCCGCCCTTTGCACCCGCGCGCCGCCCTGCTGTGCGCAGCCCTGCTGGCCGGCGCTCTGCTGCCCGCACATCCCTGCTGCGCGCCGCCCTACTACTTGCGCCGCCCGGATGCTGTCTACCCTGCTACGCGTAGCCCTGCTGGCCGGCGCCCTCCTGCCCGCGCCGCCCTGCTGCTGCCCGCCCTACCCGCGCGCCGCCCTGCTGGCCGGCGCACCGCCCTGCCCTGCTTGTGCGCCGCCCTGCTGGCCGTCGCCCTGCCCTGCCATTTGCGCTGCCCTGCCCTGGCCGCGCGCCACTCTTCCCTAGCCGTGCGCCGCCCCGCCCTGACCTGCGCGCTTCCCTAATGCTCGCGCGCCGCCCTTCTTGCGTGCTGCCCTACTGGTCGCGTGCCACCCTGCTCTGCACGCTATGGCTTCTCAGTGTACTCACCTTCGATCATGAGGGTCGTCCGATCCAGTTCGATACGTGGCTCGACAACTCACAGCTGTACCTACTGAGCGATTCTAGAGTCAACGTTTCGATGTTTGACCACACGTCTGGAGCCTCTCTCGCCCCTCCCGCCACAGCTGACAGTGCGACTCCCTCACAGTGGCTTACCCGCGACACTGCTGCTCGCTTAGCTGTTCGCAACAACCTACCATTAGCCGAACGCGCTCACTTTGGCCAGCACAAGACTGCTAAAGCCCTGTACGATGCTGTAGTCGCTCGTTACTCTTCCCCTGCCAGTGCTGCTCTAGGCCGCCTTATACTGCCCTACCTGTTTCCCGAGTTGTCAGCCTTTGCCACAGTCGAGGATCTCGTTACCCACCTTTGCACTAGCGACGCTCACTACTGCGTTGCCATCCCAGCAGAGTTCCTTGACAGGAACCCGCCCCCGATGTACATCACTCTCTACTTCATAGTCACCCGCCTCCCTGACTCTCTTCGCGCTGTCAGGGACCACCTTCTCGCACTTGACCCCACAGACCTCACTGACGACCTGCTCGAGAAGCACCTCCTTGCAGCTGAGACTAGCGTAGTCGCTGTAGGTGCTGCTCGTGGCACTCCTCGCACACCCTTCTTTGAGGGGTGTTCCCCTTCCCCCCTTGCCCCCTCCTACACTTCTGCTGCTGCTGTTGACATCCTTGGTGCTGAGGATGTCAAGGCTGCTTCTGCTGTTAGTGGGAAGCGCCGCAGCAGCAAGGGCAAGGGTGGCAAGAGTGGTGACGATGGCAGCAGGGGTGGTGGTGGTGGCGGAAGTGGAGGCGGTGGAGGTGGCGGATGTGGTGGCAGCAGTGGGAGTGGTGGCGGGAGCGGGGGCTTCGGTGGCGGCGGTGGTGGCAGCGGTGGGGGTGGCGGTGGTGGCGGCAGTGGGAGTGGTGGCGGAGGCAGTGGTGGCGGTCGGGGTGGAGCTGTTCAGAGGGGAGGTTCTGGCGGTGGCCAGAGGCAGCAGCAGCAGCGTCGGAGCGAGACCCCTACGCCCCAGCAGCTTCGTGAGTAGTTTGCTCAGCGTGGGGCGTCTGGGGGTAGTGCTAGCTGCCCGTATGTCATTCGCACGGGTGACTGTACTGGTCAGACATGCGGGAAGCTTCACATTCAGCACCGCTGCTTCTCCCGCCTTGAACACGCTTGGCGCGCAGAGTTTGGCGACGAGGTTGAGCGCCCCCGCTGGCTAGAGCTGCTTAGGTCTGGTGTTGATATCTTTGCTCTTGACTATGATGCTATCCTTGCTGCCATATATGCCTTGTCTCTTAGTGCTGAGGGTGACTGTTACCTGTGTGTGCCGCCCGACCCAGGTATAGAGGCTGCTGCTCTAGGTGCTAGTGAGTCTGCTCTCTCTGGTACTGCGCCTGCTGAGTCCGTGCACACCTTTACGCTTGACTCAGGTGCTTCCCGCTGTTTCTTTTGCGACAGTACCACCCTCACTCCTCTCCCTGCATCTGTTTCGGTCAGGCTGGCTGACCCCTCTGGTGGCCCAGTTCTTGCCCGTTCCTCTACTGTTCTCCCATGTCCGGCGGTTCCGTCCGGCTCACTCTCAGGTCTTCACCTCCCCTCGTTCTCTACGAACTTGGTGAGTACCGCTCCCCTCCAGGATGCGATGGTCACTACCACCACTCCTGGGGGTCAGCGTGTGTCGATCTGCACGTGTAGACGGACGGGCCGTCACCTGGCCACGTTCACCCATCGGCCTGAGTCGAGTCTGTACACGCTGACTACCGAGCCTCCTCAGGTAGCTGCGTCTGCTCAAGTGTCCGCGTCAGGTCCAGTAGCGCCCCCCTGCTCGTGTTGCCTCCTGTCGCACCACCAACTTGGTCACCCCTCCCTGCCACGCCTTCGTGGCATGCACTCCCGCCTCCTTGTTTCTGGTCTTCCCATGTCTCTGCCTTCCTTCCCGCCCTCGCCTGCTCCACCCTGCCTTCCTTGCGTCGAGGGGCGGCAGCTCGCCGCTCCTCACTCCTCCTCGTTTCCCCCGACGTCAGCTTCCCTGCAGACTCTCCACATGGACGTGTGGGGCCCAGCTCACGTCATTGGACAGGGCCGCGAGCGCTACTTTCTGCTGGTTGTTGATGACTATACGCGTTACACCACGGTCTTCCCCTTGCGCAGCAAGGGTCGCGTCGTTGATGTCTTGATCCCTTGGATCCGCGCAGTCCGTCTCCAGCTCCGCGAGCGGTTCCGCGAGGACCTTCCTGTCCTACGTCTGCACTCTGATAGAGGTGGTGAGTTCTCCTCCGACCTCTTGCGGGACTTGTGTCATGGGGAGGGCATCCTCCAGTCGTTCACGCTTTCGGCCTCTCAGCAGCAAAATGGGGTTGCTGAGCACTGTATTGGCTTAGTCATGGAGGTGGCTTGTACCTCCATGATCCATGCGGTTGCTCCCCATTTTCTGTGGCCGTTTGCGGTCCGGTACGCTGAGCATCAGCTCAACCTCTGGCCCCATGTCTCCTTGCCGAAGACCTCGCCTACACTGCGTCGGACAGGGAAGGTTGGCGATGCGTCGGTGTTCCAGATCTGGGGCTCTCGTGCCTTTGTCTGCGATACTTCCGCGGACAAGCTGTCCTCCCGTGCCATTCCCTGCGTCTTCCTTGGCTTTCCCCCTGACGCGCCTAGCTGGCAGTTTTACCACCCCACCTCGCGCCGTGTCCTCCCCTCTCAGGACGTCATGTTTGATGAGTCAGTTCCCTTTTCGCTCCTGTTATCACCTGACATGGTAGCTCCCACTAGCGCAGCCATAAACTTTTGCAGGCCCAGAACCTTGGGCGTGGTGGCAGTTTCTGCAGGAATTTTAACGTCGATAGTCTTGGAGCAAGTGAACACGCCCTTGATTGCCGATGTGAACGGGCATTCGAGTGCAAGTGGGGCGGATTTGTCAGCGCCGACTTGGCCCACCAGGGAGACCTTTGAGTTGGTGTTCACGCCCTTGGTGAAGGCCAGGTGGATTTCGAGAGCGACCTTGGTGTCGCTGCATGCGGGAGGGGCAGAGAGGGGAGGCAGCAGAGGATACAACAGGTAGAGCAGATGAGGGGAGAGCACAAGATGTGCTGGTGTCAATGAATCAACGCCCTTGGTGAAGACTAGGTGGACCTCCAAGGTGACCTTGGTGTCGCTGCATGCGGGAGGGGCAGAGAGGGGAGGCAGCAGAGGATACAACAGGTAGAGCAGATGAGGGGAGAGCACAAGGTGTGTTGAGTGTGAGGTCTCTCTGATAAACACCAGGTGCACCTCCAGGGTGACCTTGGTGTCGTTGCAAGCCGGGGGAGCAGTGAGGAGGGGCAGAGAGGGGGGGCAGACATGGGGGGCAGAGAAAGGGGGCAGAGGGCAGAGAGGGGGGGCAGATAAAGGGGGCAGAAAGGGGGAGCAGAGAGGGGGGGCAGAGAGAGGGGACAGAGAGGGGGGGCAGAGATAGGGGGCAGAGAGAGGGGGCGGAGACGACACAAGGTGTGTTTGAGTGTGATGCCTCTCTGATAAACACCAGTTGCACCTCCAGGGTGACCTTGGTGTCATTGCAAGCCGGGTGGGCAGAGAAGAGGGGCAGAGAGAGGGGTCAGGAAGAGGGGACAGAGGGGGGGGACAGATAGGGGGGGCAGAGAGGACACAACACGTAAAGAAGATTAGGGGAAGAGCACAGCACAGGCCGCGTTGATAATATCGCCTCTGATCAACATCAGGTGCACCTCTTGGTGTCGCTGCATGCCGGGAAATTGCACAGACGGGTCAAGGGAGAAAGGACCGCAAGAGGTCCCACAGTTATCGATTTGTATTAAATATATATTCATATATAAAATTTCTGGAATCTTGTGACTATTCTTCCCCTAATCTTGTGACTAGTCTTCCCCTCCAACCTTCCCCACCATCCCTTTCAAACCCCTCATTGCAGCCTCGCCTGGCTTGCCTCTCGCTGTTACCACTCTCATCGCAATTGCTGTTACCACTCTCATCTCAATCGCTGTTACCACTCTCAATTGCTGTTACCACTCTCATCGCAATTGCTGTTACCACTCTCATCTCAATCGCTGTTACCACTCTCAATTGCTGTTACCACTCTCATCTCAATTGCTGTTACCACTCTCATAGCAATTGCTGTTACCACTCTCAATTGCTGTTACCACTCTCATCTCAATTGCTGTTACCACTCTCATCGCAATTGCTGTTACCACTCTCATAGCAATTGCTGTTACCACTCTCATAGAAATTTCTGTTACCACTCTCATAGCAATTGCTGTTACCACTCTCATTGCAATTGTTGTTCTCAAATTACGAACTCACGTGCTGGTGGCGATCCGAATCTTGGCTCCGCCTGCCACGGCGCCGGAGAACATGGCTTGGAACCGGCCGCGTGCCATGGATGGCAGCACTGGGAGGCCTGGCACGTGGGATGGGTGCGATGGGGGGCGCATGGGGGGGGCGGAATGGAATTGGAAGCAAGAGGAGGCGTGCATCAGGGGGATTGCAACGGGAGGGGTGCAATGCACAGAGTCCGCAGCAGCAGAGCATAACGCGTCCTGTCATCCTAACGAATGGATGGAGAGACACAGCTTGCGTTGCCGGATTCACTCAGGAGTCATGCGTCCGTACCAGTATCAAGAGATCCGGTTGTCGCCAGCGACCCCGACGCGGTCAGTGTGTCGCCGTTCACTCCCGCGTGCGTCACTGCGGCCCTGCCGCCAGTCAAGGCGCTCCCAATAGTCACCCAGTCCAGACTCCTAGTGAGATCCCACACTCCCGGGGCGACCAGCTTCCACTGACTGGCGTCGGATGCTAGAGACGTGCCTCCGAGTGAGACGTCCGTTGGCGGGTCGGCGCTTCCCGCCATGATCACGCGGAGGACACCCGGAAATGCAAGCGTGCTGCGGTGATTGGGGCGAGAGGGAACAGGCGTCTCAAAAATCATGAAGGGCCCCACTCACCCTGAATGCAGGTTACCGCGGGGTAACACACATAACCTCCCCTCGATCTGTCCTTCGAAGTTCTCTCAATTTCCTACCGTGCCACAAAGTCTGCTACAATGTTCCATCGACAACAGGCGAAAACATTTCTCGTCGAAACGAAAATTCGGCGTAAACACGGCATGTTTAGACGTGAGCAGCAACCGGGTGGAATGAGGAACGCGATAAGCATGCAACACGACATGATGCTGACGGCACGGGGAAAGCGGGGCTTACTTGGCAGGCTTTCGCACGATCACGGTCCCCTGCGATTCGAGCGACGTCACCGGAGCACTGTAGAAGGCTGCGAAGGGTCGGAGTGGGAGCGGGATTGCAAGCGGGTTAGCCATTGGAACAAGCGCTGGGCTCTAAAGACTAGCGCGACGTGAGGTGAACGTGGGATAGAGGTTCTGCGAGGTATCGGAAGGGGATTGGGAGAAGGAAAGCAACAGCTCATGTTTATGCGGCGAGTGAATGTTTGAAAAGCGCGCCACTGCTCATGCGTGTCGTTTAAATTTCGAAGGCGGTCGCTGCAGAACAATCAAAGTCTACACTCCGGATTGGTAGAGTCGGTATTTTTTTTAAGAGTTTCGAGGTTCTAAGCCTGAGCCGGACGCTGGGTCAAAGCGCTGACACTTATGGCCTTACATGATGGCGAGGAGGTTGCTGGAACAAACTTCTTGATATCCGCGTCCGCGACCTCGAACGCCGCTGACGTCATGGTGGCAGGCGCCGCGCAGAAGAGAACCACGAGGCCTGCAAAACCATGGCGATCAAAAGGGTCACGTGACGTGTCATATTGCGGCCGCATGATACCGGAAGTTACTGTTATAGTCACAATAGGCTTGAATGTGCCTAAAACGAAAGATAGAGAGCACAGACGGATTTCTGCACAGCGGCTTCAAACGTTGATAGCGTTCTGCTCACAGATGCAAATGACTTGATTCAAATTGGATCTGGAGCGTCTTCACGTCGTCTACAATTAACATTTTAGATTGCACGATTTGATGAAGAATTGACGACACAGCGTCGGTTTGAACGAACGGTACTATGGCAGCCACTATAGTCTTAGAACACAAGATAGGAAGAGTTACGAGTTGGGAATGACTCCCAGCTCCTACAAACCCCAAGAGCCGAGGTACAGTGATGTGGAACAGTGCCACACTGTCCCCAACCACGAAGGGTCTCGAAACTACCCTTCACTAGGGCCTACACCAAGTGAAATGTTACACTACACAAAGTAATGTAACTATCTTCAATATCTTGAGGTGTACCCTTTTGGCAAGCTTCGAAATCACTTGAGGCTTGACACCAAGGCTCAGGCTCTTCATCACAAACTCATCCTTGAGTTCTTGATGGGTCTGCTGCACACACCTGCGACACGCCGAACGTTCGACACAGGACAAAATAGAAACCGCGCACGACAAAATAGAAACCGCGCGCGAGACACAAACGACCGCGTAACACGCGTATAGCGATAACTCGCTATTGACTCGACACACACACTCGACATCATGACTCAACATTCACACACAATTATAAGCATGAAATATATATTATCCCATGCCCTCATACCATTCCATACACACACACATTCACGCACACGGACAACAAGCCGAGTGCAAACCGTAGGGTTGCACCAACAAACTCCCCCTCCGATTGTTGGCCTTAGGATATGTTGCTCTCTCAGTTCAGAGCCATCCCAGCCAGCTTGCAACACTTCCAATGCTGCTGCTCCACCAGCCTCTTGGTCATCATGTCAGCCGGCTGCCCCGTGGTCTTCACGTAGCGCAACTCAACTTCACCCGCGGTTACCATGCTCCTCGTCCAATGCCACTTCACCCTCATGTGCTTCGTGAGTCCATGCAACACAGGGTTCTTAGCAAGAGCAATGGCACCCTGGCTGTCACAGTACAGTGGGGTAGGTCCTTGCTGCTCCTCCCCCAATTCAGCCAACAAACGCCGCTGCCACACAATCTCCCGTACGGCACGGAAGAGTGCCATGTACTCGGACTCCACCGAGCTCAAAGCTTGGTCAACCTGCTTCTTGCTCTCCCAAGCAGTTGGGCCTCCACCAACACAGCATATGAAGCCTCCCACACTTGTCATGTCCTCTGGTTCTGATGCATATGAAGCATCCGAGTAGGCGGTGAGGAACAAACGCCCGGGTTCAACACCATCCGCGCCCTTTTGGCGCCTTTGTGCCGCCGCCGAGTATTGCAGCCCAACGGTCGGTGTTTGGCCAAGATACTTGGCCACCCTCATTCCAGCTGCTACCTGCTCCTCATTAGGGCATTGCACAACCCTAGCCAGCTGCCCGGTAGCAAACGCGATGTCCGGTCGGGTGTTTACCGCCGCATACATGAGGCTGCCCACCAACGAGTGAAATCGGCGCCTCTCCTCTTCACCAACGCTCTCCTCCTCTGGTCCCTTTACACACTTGAACCCAGAGGGAAAGGGTGTAGCCACATGGCCTTCACTCTGCCCAAAGTTGGCAGCCAATACCTCCAGGTACTTTCGTTGATGCACCCGCATGCACCGCTTCTCCACATCTCGTTCGATGTGGAGCCCAAGGTAGAAGCTCACATCACCAAGGGCCTTGCACTTGAACTTGTCTTGAAGCTTCAGCATCACCTCCTTCACAAGGTCAGAAGAGGGTGAGAAAATGAGGATGTCATCCACATAAACCACCATGAAACTCCTCTGCTCTCCCTCGCCAAGCATGAACAAGGAGTGATCGGCCGTTGAGGGAGTGAAGCCGATCCCCTCCAACACTTCGCGCAGCTTCATGTACCATTGCCTAGGGGCCTGCTTCAGCCCATAGAGGGCCTTCTTCAGCTTCCACACTCTGCCACTACCATCATCAAACCCCTCTGGCTGTGCCATAAAAATCTCCTCCTCAAGGATGCCGTTAAGGAATGCCGTTACGATGTCCATTTGCTTTACTACCCATCCTTTGATGGCGGCTCCCGCGAATAGGGTTCGCAGCGTCGTCGGCTTCACCACAGGGGCAAACAGCTCCTTGAAGTCCACCTTCTCCTTCTGCTGGTACCCCTTGGCTACAAGCCTAGACTTGTAGCGCTCGATCTTGCCGTCGGCATCCGACTTGATTTTGAATAGCCTCTTGGACGTAATCGCTGTACGCCCCTCCGGTAGCTCCACCAATTCAAACGTGTCATTCTCCTCGATGCTCTTCAGCTCACTCTCCATGGCCTTCTTCCACTCCTCAGCATCACTACTCTCCAAAGCCTCCTTGAGAGTTGCTGGTTCTCCCGGCATCTCCACCGGAGAGAAGAACGCGAAGGCACACTCCTCGTAGTCACTCTCCTCGTCGTCTCCGACCATCATTGCCGCTCCGGCCAGGGCTGTCTTGCCCTGCTTTCCCGGCGCATCATAGGTCAGCCTATTAGGGGGTTGAACTCTCCTCTTCCCCCTTCCTTCCTCCTCAGCTGCAGGGACTTGAAGGCCTTGACGTTGCTGCGGTGTGGCTCGAATCCGTGGAGCACTCGTAGTACGGGAAGGGAGTGACGGTGCACGCTCGCTCACTTGCTGCACCTCCTCCTCTTCTTCCTCTGCATCATTGGCCTCCTCTCCCCCATTCACAAGGGAGGATTGCCTTGTGGTTGTGCTGCCGCTGCTCAGCTCCAAAGGCAGCTCCACATGCTCCAAACCGGAACTCTTCACCTCCCCAAACCGCACGCCTATCTTCGCCTCATTCTCCGCCTTCCAATCCTTGTACATGAAGTTCTCCATGAACTTGCAGTCCCTGCTCACCAAGAACTTCTTGGTGAATGGGTCCCAAAGAAGCCATCCCTTGCTGTTTTGAGCCATGCCCAAGTGCACGGCCCACACCGCCTTGGCACCAAGCTTGTTGTGCCGAAGATGCTTAGGCACGAGCGCCATGCACATGCACCCGAACACCCGAAGCATATCCACCTTTGGCTTCCTTCCTAGCCACTCCACATAGGGCACCCATTTGTCTGCTCCCACATGAGTCAAGGCTCTGTTCTTGGCCACACACGCGCTCCGCACCGCATCAGGCCAGAAATAGTCGGGTAGCCCGGCTTCAATGAGCAACCCGCGTGCCGCCTCCGTGATTGTGCGGTTCGCTCGCTCGGCGATGCCGTTCATTGCAGGGGAGTATGGCATGGTGAGAGAGTGCCGAATACCATTCTTCTTCAGCCACAACCCAAACTCCTTGCTCAGGAACTCTCCCCCTCGATCGGTGCGGATTGACTTGACTAGACGGTCTTGTTGCCGCTCCACCATCGGAAACCAATCCGTCTTCAACGTTTCAGCCACGTCGCTCTTCTTGGCCAGCACGTACACCCAAGTCATGCGGGTGTAGACGTCGACAATGGTGAGAAAATACTCAGCTCCAGCAGCTCCAAGCTTCAGGGGGCCCACCACGTCCATCACCACCTCATCAAGCGGTGCCTTTGCCGTTGCCTCCGAACTAGGGAACGGAAACCGGGTGAACTTGGCTTGAATGCACGTCGGGCAGCCAAGCACCTCATCGGGCTCCCCCTTCACACGTATGCCAGCAACCATCTCATTCTTCACTAGCTGCTGCAAGATGGGCAGGGCCACATGCCCCATGCGCCGATGCAAGGTGAGCCAATCACACTCCCCCGTAGCCGAAGTTGGATTGGAGAATGCCGCGCTCGCAATAGCGCCCCACATACTCTCTCCGTAGTCCTCCTCCGCTGCTGCCTCTGGGTTCTCCTCACCCTTTTGCTGCTCCTTGGTTGCTGCACCACTCTCCTTAGGTTCACTGAACTTGCTGGTCCCTCCAGGTTTGCTCTTCTTGAGCTCATTCTCCTTAGCGCGACCGTTCGCGCCATCGTCGCTACCGACCGCTCCATCCTTGGTGCTGATGCTTGCTGCCACTTGCCTCTCCTTAGGCATAGGGACCACTGGGATCTGCCACATCTCATTGTAGACATCCCTGTCCTCATGAAGGTCTCAAAGAATTCGATCGCCAAGCCTTGCGGTGTAGGTCTTGGCTCCCTTCGAGTTCGTGTCCATGCCGGCCTTTGCCAACCGCCGCACGGAAATCAGGTTTGCAGCAAGGCTGGGCACCCAAAGCACGTTCTTGAGGCCCACCATTTTCCCATCAGCACCCTTGAACATGGCCTTGCCCATGCCTTTCACCTCTGCTCGCTGCCCCAAAGCCGATGTGACATGCTTCACCGGTGACGGCTCGAGTTCGGTGAGCAAGTCCGGGCGAGGTGTCATGCTATAGGTAGCGCCACTATCAATCACCCAATAGTCCAGGGGGTGTAGGGTCACCTTCCCCACAGCTGCTGGCTCCTCAAAGCCTTCATCCTTCTCTGGACCAGCCGGTACTTGCGTCGACACGAAGTAGAATAGACCCGGGTATCGATCGTCGCTCGGGTCCTTGTCGTTGTCTCCGCTCTTCATGTTTGCAGCTCCGCCACCGCGACCGCCACGGCCTCCACGGCCTCGTCCTCTCCCTCCTCCTGCTCCTCTACCCTCTTGGCCTTGAGCAGGGGTCCAACCATCAGGGAGTTTGTAGCAGTCTTGTGGCAATAGTGACACTCGCCGTCGAATCGGCCGCGACCGCGTCCGTAGCTCTTGTCGTCGCTGCCGTAACCGCCACTCCTGCGGCCTCCGCCGAAGTTGCTGCCACCAAACCTTCCTCCCCCTCGTCCTCTGCCTCTTCCTCGACCATATCCACGGCCGATGCTCGCTGCCCCAGCGCCATCCGCACTCGCCAACTCACGGCGGCGGAAATCCTCTTGAAGGATAGCTCGCTTCACGTCTTCAAGCGAGAGGCGGGGCAAGTCGCGATTAAGGTTGATGATGAGCGAGGACCATGACTCTGGGAGTAAGGCCAGCAACTTGGTCTTCTTTTGGAGCTCACTGTAGTTCAAATCAGCTCCCTCAAGCCGCGTCAACAAGTCGAAGAATTTCTGCACCCCTTCTTCAACCGCTTCGTCTTCTTCAATTCGTAGTGCCGCCATTTGCCGTTCCAACACCACCGCTACCGCCGCTGTTGCAGGAGCATGTACACCCTTGAGAGCAGCCCATGCCTTTGGTCCTTTCTCTGGTTCACGCTGGAATGGCTTGATGTGACGGATCTGACTGCTCCCCAACGCTTGCCCAAGTAAGAGATAGCCTTGTGCGCTCTTCCGCACCCACGGGCTCTTCTCCGGGTCATTCTCGGGGCACTTCTCCGTTCCTTCCATCACCTCCAGCAGGTCATAGTGGTCAAAGATGTTCTCCATCTTGAAGGACCATTCAGCAAAGTTGTCACCGTTGAACTTGTCAAGCCCAAACACCCTAGGCTCATCCCTAGGTGGGCCAAGACTTGGTTGCATGGGCGCCATGGCTGAATCACGGGGTTGGCCTTGAGCTTGAGCTTCTCCACTGCCACCAGCACCTCTGCCACCCCTTTCCTCAGGTCCAGACATTGTCGAAACTGCTCCAAGGGCTCTGATACCACTTGTTATAGTCACAATAGGCTTGAATGTGCCTAAAACGAAAGATAGAGAGCACAGACGGATTTCTGCACAGCGGCTTCAAACGTTGATAGCGTTCTGCTCACAGCTGCAAATGACTTGATTCAAATTGGATCTGGAGCGTCTTCACGTCGTCTACAATTAACATTTTAGATTGCACGATTTGATGAAGAATTGACGACACAGCATCAGTTTGAACGAACGGTACTATGGCAGCCACTATAGTCTTAGAACACAAGATAGGAAGAGTTACGAGTTGGGAATGAATCCCAGCTCCTACAAACCCCAAGAGCCGAGGTACAGTGATGTGGAACAGTGCCACACTGTCCCCAACCACGAAGGGTCTCGAAACTACCCTTCACTAGGGCCTACACCAAGTGAAATGTTACACTACACAAAGTAATGTAACTATCTTCAATATCTTGAGGTGTACCCTTTTGGCAAGCTTCGAAATCACTTGAGGCTTGACACCAAGGCTCAGGCTCTTCATCACAAACTCATCCTTGAGTTCTTGATGGGTCTGCTGCACGCACCTGCGACACGCCGAACGTTCGACACAGGACAAAATAGAAACCGCGCACGACAAAATAGAAACCGCGCGCGAGACACAAACGACCGCGTAACACGCGTCTAGCGATAACTCGCTATTGACTCGACACACACACACTCGACATCATGACTCAACATTCACACACAATTATAAGCATGAAATATATATTATCCCATGCCCTCATACCATTCCATACACACACACATTCACGCACACGGACAACAAGCCGAGTGCAAACCGTAGGGTTGCACCAACAGTTACGAGTAATTATGTCCCTGTTGGAATATGAGCGGCTGTTGTAAGCAAATGACTAATCAATTCGATTGGGCTGTCAAGGTCTGCGCTTCGGGGATTCTTACATGGCAGGCACATGAGGCTGGATATGAGCCATTGCGAAAGACCGAGGGGGGCCATAACAATGCGCTTCAAGTCGTATGCCGCGAGGTGGCGGTGAAGGTTGCAGGAAGTAGAAACTGGTAGTGAACGAGATTTAGTAAAAGTGCAGGGGGGTTTTCTTGCAGGTTGCCGAGAGGTGGAATGTGAGGTGTGAAGTGAATGCTATGAAAAGACGATTGAGTTATGAGTTAAAGCTCGCGTCTCATATTTCTGCCATCCAACCAAGTGTTAAACGGTTGGAATCCGGTAACAGCAGAGTTTGTCGCAAAGCACACCAAAGCAAGGGGTGGATTGGGAAAGTTGGCTGTCGCACACTTCCCCGTGCACACCAAGTGTTAACAACTCTCGAAAATATGAGACTCTGAACTCAACGTTGACAGAACCCGGGACCAAACCTGTCCCCCTTGGCTCGTTTTCCACCCAAACCAACCCACCCTGGTTTGTTTTGGCCTCGACTGTTTGGGAGTTCGCTGTGTTTTTTTCACCCACTCGTCAAATAATTCGTCATTCGTTACCCAATCACAGACGGGAAAACCCAACCAAGTGTTAAAAGGTTGGAAATCTGAGACGCGAGCTTTAAGTACTGTCCTCAGTGTGGGTGGGTATGGAGGTGGTGGTGATTTAGCCTGGTTAAATAATATGCAGAGGATTTCAGAGGATTCATTTACGTTGCAGAGGGTTTATGGTGGTTAGATACAAAAGGAGAGTGGTGCGATGGGATTGGATGCGGTTCCTGAGATAACAAGCACTGCATTATTGAATGTCCGGAGCGCGCTCTTTGAAGATTTCGACATGCTTGGGTGGCGGACTCCATTATTGAATGTCCGGAGCGCGCTCTTTGAAGATTTCGACGTGCTTGGGTGGCGATGTCGCGAATGTAAATAATAGAGATCAACAGTTCTGGTTCGATTGTGGTCACGGAAGTCAAAATATTCGGACTCACTCAAATTATTGTCAGCTCTGCCTCGCCATCGTTGGGCAACAATGATGCAGTTTCCGTTCGTTTTGCGTGGCAGAAACATATGAGTGCGAACATCCTTGCCATCCTGCGTTACCACCTGCGCTATTCCACTTGCGAACATCTCCTTCAGAGTTCGTAGAACTGTTCATACTCCACGAAGCTCACGAACAGCTCCCTCCCCCAACCATGATCTCTTCTGGTTGACACGTGCCAACAAGCGGTTGACAGAGCCTGACTACTTTGTTAGATGAGGATCAGACTTCTTGGTGCCCTGATTTCCGTCGGGTTGATTGTTCTTCCCCTCCCCTCCTCAGTCAAACTGTTCTTTCCCTCCTCAGTTCTTAGCTTTCACCATTCTGAACACGTCAGAGCCTAGCTGATTTCCGATCAACTAGGTTCCACTAGAGCTGCTAAGACGCGAACGTCTCTTGTCGATTGGTTAGAAGGAGAGCTTCTTCGTTCCTTGAATCACGGAACGAAGAATGGCTCTTTTTTTCTTTTCTTTTTTTAATGGAACGGGAACAGGTGCATTATTGTTGGACCCCTGGCCGAATGGCTGACGAGCTTAGTCAGCGAGTTACGCCAACATTGCATTATTATGCAACCCCAGCCCGGGCTCCGCGCTTTCCTCACACAGAGAAGCTCAGCGCGCCGCGCTCGCTTCCACCCTTCGGCTCAAGCCTTCGCATCCTCGGATCGTTTATTATCACCACCAGAGCCACATCACTTCCCCACCATCAGCCATTTCTTCCCTAATCATCTCCTTAAGAGCTCCTGCTTCTCTTGAGACCACAGACCCATTTGGAACGGCGTGTTTCTTTCACATCAGTTGTATCGCTGTTTAGGGTTTCTCATTGATAACTTTAGAAACACCGCGATGGCTCTCCCCCGTGTTCTCACGTGCCTCCTCATGATTGTTGGTACGTTCCTGTTACTCTTCCTAACCGAAATCTATCCATCTGTCACTAAGTCGTGTGTTATCTGGTAAGGTCGGCGGCCATCTTCTCACGTGCCTCCTCATCATCGCCGATACGAGTTCTCATAAACCCATGCCTCCTTCCTCAATCAGTGAACTGATATACACGCTTCATATGATTTATTCCTTCCCGATGCTATACATTTATAACTACGTCGTATGTAGCTTCTTAAGATCTGACTACCTCGCTTTGCTCGTGTGGTTTGCTGCAGGCGTGCTGGTCTCCTCGGCGCTTCCCGGAGCAGAGGCGATAAGCGAGGCGGACAAGCAGCGCGCCGTGAAGGCGGGCCTCGCGTTCGTCAAGGCCGTCCTCGCCATGCTCTTCCCGCCGCCCACGCCTGCCGCCAGTCAGTGCCTCCCTCACCCTCCTCTATACGCCTATCTTGGAGCTTCGCTCTGTATTCTGCTCTCTCAACGTGAAATCTCTTCGCTGGAAAGGCCTGAATCTGACACATCGTAATCTGTGTCGTTTTGAGATCTTTGTCGAGAGTTCTGTGACGCATCGCAATCTGTGTGACTCTTCCTCGCACCGTCCCTCGTCATCCTCTCGCCTCCTTCGTTTCCCCTTATCGCGTTTTTCCCCGCCAATGCAGAGTTCTACAAAGCGGACTTTTCGGATACGAACGTGGCAGGGACGTTCAGCATCGCAGTCCCCTCCAAGTAAGAAATTCCCCAAAGCCGGGATCCCCAGTCTGGAGTCGCTTCGCAGTCAAATTCAGAGTTGCAGGTTTCGTGGTCGAATCTGGGGGTGGGCGTGACACAGGCAGACGCCTGATGTGAGCACAGCAGACGCCTTGTCGCAAGCAGCGCTGTGGTTACGCAAGCACTGATCTGTGTGTGCGAGCAGGCGCGACAAAGGGGCGATGTATTTTCCTTGGGATTCCCATGCGTAGAAAGATCTTCCTTGCCCTCCCTGCACCCCCCTATCCCCTCCTGCCGCCCTAGTTTCTCCCGTCCTCATTGGTTCGTTCCCCGTTTCCCCCAATCTCTTCTTCCACCCTGGCAGGTCCATGACCAAGCCGACTCAGTTCCGCCTGACCACCGCAGGTTCGGCCAATCCGCCGATGGAAGTGACTCTGAACGCGAAAACTCCGGTCGTTTTGGGTGCACTCGGAAAGAACATGCAGTGCTCGCAAGTTGCGCCGAGCGTGTGGGACTGCTTCGGCCAGACCAAAATGACCCAAGCTGACATCAACAATATCGGATTCACAGCTGGCGTGGGGGTTCGCGTTGACTCGCATGACTTGAGTCTCACCTACCCCGATGCACGCAACCAGGCTCTGGATGCCACTTCGAAGCTCGCGAAAGCGCCGTCAAATTCGAAAATGGCGCAAGCGTTCGGTACGTTGCTTGGCCCGTGGTTACGCCATTACTCTGTTTGAGAATCTTTCGCTGTAGAGAGGACAGGTCCTCTGTACTCCTGACTGACAGACCCCATATTGCCCAGCTCAACTCGTTGCTCGTGTGAAAACGAGTGACTAACGAACCCTTCTATACTTGATTCTGCTGCAGGTAACAACGATTTGCTGCTTGGGGTTCCTGCCGGAAGGTTCCAGGCAATGATCACCGGGGACGAGATCAAAGGAGGCGCAATGTTTGCCGTCTCCAATCTGTAAGTCCCTCCTGTAACGCTACTTAGGTCCTCACAACCCGATCCCCCCTTTAAAACGCTAGTCCGAATTTCAGTAAAAGGCATCAATACCCATTCCCTAGGGTTTCACCATCGACCCATCACACGGAGCTCAACCCCTCTGTCCCCTCCCCCTTCTCCCTCCCTCTTCCCTCCCACCTCCCTCCAACCCACCTCCCCTACAGGAACCGCAAGTGCACCATCGCCTACAGCATCGTGCTCGTCTCCCCACAAGCCCTCATGCCAGAAGCAACCATCTCCGTCGTCGACCCGACCACCCAGGAATCAATCATCATCCCCGTCGGCTGCAAGTGGGCCCAGCCCAGGCCCGGCGTGCACGTATGCGAGGCCAAGGGCGATTTCCCCACCACCATAGACACCGTTTTCTCAACAACCTCTCTTGCGCCAGCGGCCGCGGCTCGGAGTGCGGCTGCCAGCATGAGCGCAGCAGCCCTGCCAGGGTCGGCGGTGGACCTGGTGTTCAAGGTGACGGTGGCATCGGGCATGCTGCCAGAGTCTGATGGCGCGCTGCGCTACTCGCTGTGAAAGGCACACCCATCAACGGTTTACTAACTCCTTATGGCAATCAATAGGCTCCTCACAGGGTGGTGCATCGCGGGGGTACATTTGAGGTGGCCCAGAAATCTGTCTTCTCTGTCTCTCACAGGGTGGTGGAGATCATACTCGCTGTTAGCACTCGCACAAAGCTGTGTCAGTGGCAGTGAATAAGTGTTGGGCGCTTCTGCCCCCTCCCCTCTGGAAGAGGCCTGCACTGCCATATTTTCCTGCTCTTTTACTCTCTCCCTCCCTCCTTCCTACTTCTGTCTCACTCTCCCTCTCCCCCTCTCCTTTGAACGCCCCCACTTGCTGCTTTTGTGCTCCTGCACTGTTGCTACAAAGGATGTGGCATCAGTGTTGGCTAGATTTTGGCTATGTGCGTTCCCAATGTTGTAAAAAGCCATCTACGACATCTACTGTACCGCTAGTAGTCCGGCAGGGAAAAAAAAAACACACTAGAACCCTCTGTGTCTAGTAAATTTACCCTCTGTATCTAGAATACTATGCTGGTTCGTGTAGGGCACCAATGACTTGGGAACGATACAGACACGATGTCGGAAGCAGTAATCAGGATGGCGAGCACTTGTGATGGGAATTATGAGCACTGTATCTGTTATATCTTTAGAACATTGGTCTATTTGAATTGAAGCACATTACAGATGAGATGTACAGATATGTAGTCAGAAATAGAGCTGTTTCGAAATTGGTCTGATGTACGCGATATGACGGTGCCGCCCAGCTTTTTTTCGAGATCTGTCAATGCCTTCCCTCCCCATTCGAAATTCCGCCTGTCACTTTGCAAGTTTTAGCAGACTAGTGGGCTGATCCCAAAAAGGGCAAATGCCACTAGACCCGACTGGATTCACCGTACGAGACTTCGTTCTGACGAAGACGTATTTCGTCGGATTGCTGTTGTTTCATGCGGAGCGTGTGTCTCACGAAGCGTCGTCAAATATTCCGCATTCAATATGATTTTTATGAAATTCCTGTTAGCCGCATTGCTGCTGATCGCACCGCTCCAGTCCAATGCTGACGGAACAGAATCAATTAGGACAGATTCCGTCCATGCTGACGGAACCTTGACGGAGGAGCACATTGCATCAGTCATGATGGACTGGCTGGTGGAACGAGGAGTCACGGGGCTGACTCCAGATTCCCCCTTACAGGTACGGTGTAATACATATAGTTCCCCGAATATATTTTTACAGTACTCTGCCCGTTCGTACATCCCTTCGTTCTTTCTCTTTATCAACGACACGCCTTCCTCTTTCCTCCCAATCTCGCAACGTCACCTTCCCGTGTCCCACATCATCAGATCGTGGTGGGGAAGCCACGTGGAAACCGCGGGTTATCGCGTACAAGGTGAGACCAACCCCTTGCTCGCACGCGCCCTGTTTCCAACCCCTCATGTCGTCGGGCCGTGCTCTCTTCGTAGTAACCGCTCGCAATCTGATCGAATCTTTGCTGTTACCAACTACTTGGATTCTCAAGCTACTCGTCGCCGTAGTAGCACCAGCTCGCGACCTGGCCAATGTCAAGCCTCGCTTTTCCCTCCCCTACCCGACTTCATCTCCCCCAACCAACCCATCACTCTCGTTCACCCCTACCCCCCACTCCCATCCTTCCACACACGCACACCCCTTGCCCCACCCCCTCAACAGGCGTGGTCGCTTTGTCATAGCAGCCCCTCTTGTAGTAAGTCGATTTTTGAGTCTGAATCAAAAATCGATTTTGTCATAGGAGCCCCTCTTCCAAGCCCACCTCCTCATCTCCCTACCCCGCTCCCATCCTTCCACCCACACAGCCACCCCTTCGCCCCACCCTTTCCCTCAGGCGAGGTCTCTCCGGCACAGCAGCACGGAACCTGCTCCAAGGCGAGCCCCCTCCTCTAACCCCCCTTGTTCCCAAGCGTGGTCCGTCAGTCCGTACTCGCTGCGTGTGATTCTGTTCAAGTCTCAAGGCCAACCTCTCTTTCTCCGCCCCTTGCCCCACATCATCTCTCCCAGGCGAGGCCTCTCCGTTGTAGCAAGCAACGCGCGATCTAGTCCAAGGTGAAACGCTCTTCTCCCTCCCCTCTTTCCATTCACCCACCCACGTACCCACCCCTTGTCCCACCCACCCATTGCCCCACCCCTTGCCCCACCCCCCTCCCCCCAGACGCGGTCTTTCCGTGGTAGCAGCGCGCGATCTAGTCGAAGGGGAAACGCTCTTCTCCCTGCCCCCCTCCGCCTTCATCTCCCCGGAGCAGCCCATCACTCTCCCCCACCCCTACCCGCTCACGCCCGACGTCTCGCCTCTCTCCGGCTGGACGGCCTTCTCCATCCTAGCCGCCTGGATTCTGAGGGAGAAGCGCAAGGTGGAGAGCGGTGAGGGGTCGCAGTGGGGCGTGTATGTGCAGTCGCTGCCTGAATACGTGCCGCTGCCGGTGTTTTTTCCGGATGAGCTGATACAGGAGTTTGAAGAGCAGAGCATGATCGACCATGTAAGTGAGTGGGTGGGTGGGTGGGTGGGTGGGTGGGTGGGTGGGTGAGTGAGTGAGTCACTGGGCAAATGCGTTGGTGGCATTTGAGTTGGCTCAAAACGAGGTGCTTTTGTACCCTTGACTCATACTTCCAGAGCAGGGCTCATAAGTCCAGACCATGATCGACCTTGTGTATTTAAGTGGGTTCAGCTCAGGTGCGTCTCGTAAGAGCTGCTGCCCTCCACCCTTTCCCCACCTACTTTCCCCTCTCCCTTTCCCCTCCAGGCTTTCTCCTACCGGGAGACGTTCAAGTCGGAGTACGAGCGGTGTGACAAGGCGGCTATCAGCAATGCAAGTGAGGAGGAGTTCATGTGGGCTGTGGCTGTCGTGTCCTCTCGTGCCTTCAGCAAAACAGCCAGCAGCATTGGAGGCAACAACACTGGAAACAGCAGCAACTGCAGCTACGGTAACAGCAGCGAAGATAACAGCAGCGACAGCAACAGTAATAGCAGCGATGACAGCGGGAGCAGCAGCAGCAGTGCCAAGAGCTGCAGCAGCGGTGGCGACAGCAGAAGCAGCGGGTCCAGCGAGCCACAGTATGTGACGGCGCTGTTCCCCTTGGCAGAGCTGTTCGACCACCAAGCCACCAACACCATGGGCTGGCAGGTGGGTCGGCTTTTGAGTCCGATGCAGAGCTTTTTTTGCTATTTCCCCTTCTTCTGTTTCTCTTTTTCTGTTTCCATCGCTCTTCTCACCATCAACACTCCCTTTGCCCTCCCTTTGCACACTCTTTCCACTCGCTCGCACTCGCAGACGGACGAGCAGACCAACACCATCGTCGTCCGGAGCTACGCCGCCCTGCCAGCCGGCAGCCAGCTGTACAACAGCTACGGGACAAAAAGCACCGACATGTTCCTGCAGGCGTACGGCTTCGTGCCGTCCGACAACCCGCACGACTCGTTCCCCCTCACTTCCTCTGAGGCCGATCTCGCAGAAATTTACTACAAGCACTATGCGAATGTGACTGTAAAGGAGGGGAGAAAGGGCATGTTTGACCTTTGGGCGGAGTACCTTTTAAGGAGGACGAGCGAGGATGTGAGGGCAGCAAAAGAGAAGGTGGAGGAGGAGGTGGGGGTGATTGGCGGGCCCAAAGCAGATGTGTTTGAGGAGGGCAGCGCGCATGCGGTGTGGGCAGGAGGCCAGGTGGACCCGCGCATGCTCCTCTTCCTCGCGTCGCTCTGGCACGTGTTTGGCTACGGGGAAGGTGCGTTGTGCATATGTTGGATAGTGGGGGCGGATATGGGAAAGGTGGGCTTTAACAGGGACGGCTTGCATTTGCATACATAGAAGGTATCGTTGTATTCTTTGTGGCATGATTTACAACCTTGCTTGGTTTCTCTTGGAGTGTTTAACCTGCTCTTGTCCACCAGACAATGATCACATGCCTTTTTTCTTTCTTGAGCATTTCCTTTACTCTCCTTTCCCCAACCCTCATTTTTATCACCAACCACTATCAGAGCCCAATTATTCAGGCTTGGCCCAAGCCTCAGTGTGGTTCGGCTGGCATATCTACAGTGGAACGTGTGCTGACATGGCCCAATCCATAGGCTTGACGGACCATGAGCTCACGAGCCTCCTCGCCGGAGCTGATCTGGTTCGGGATGAGGTTCGGCAGGCCCTGGCGATCTGGTCCACACCTATCAACGAGGATCGGCGACGCCTGAAGCAGCTTGAGAAATGCTGGTGGGTGGATGGGAAGATCGAAAAGGAAGATGGAGAGGAAGGAGAGGAAGTGGGAGAAGGTGAGGAAGGGGAAGAGGAGGTGTGCACAAAGGAGGTGGTTCAAACGCTCATGGAACGGGAGCTGGTGCTACAGTACCGTATTGCCAAGAAGAAGTTGCTGCAAAATGTGTATGATCGGCTCGAGGAGGGGTGCTCCTCTCTCCTGCAGTCACAGTCACCCGAATCAGATTCTGTAGAGGCGCCTTCAGAAAAGTCGAACGGAATGTTACCAGAGCTGACTGTGCCCGCTCCACCTTTGCCTGCAGAGCAGCATGAGGAGCTCTAGTTAGAAATATTCATACCGTGTTTCGCTATTACGTTTCGTTGCTGGTTCATGCACTAGGTTAGAAGGGTGTGGAAGGAAATAACTCGTGGTGCTACATCTCAGCACAACATAGTTCTCAAGAGTGGTTAGCAACGGAATGATTAAAATAGAAACGAACGGGGTACAAATAAGCAACCCTAGAAACTGTACCCCTTACAGTGCAACTCACTACAGCCTATCATATCAATGTTCAACATTTGACACACCCCCATAGGCTAAGTGAGGGGCATCAAAGCAAGCAAGGTGAACAAACGGTCACAAGACCAGTCAAACCAAGAACCAAGACAAGCTCAGGGTGGATCTCAAGGACACCACACAAATTCCGAGCGCAAGCAAGCGGCCACAAGGCCAGTTCAAGAGTTCACTAGCATATAAATATAAAGCACAACAAGCAGAGGAAGCAACAGGACTACAGCAACCTAGGGCCTACCTCAACAAGCCCCAACTGCACACAGAACCTGTGGTGGTCACCAAGCGCCAAGGCCTTGGTGAAGACGTCTGCAGTGTTGGCCTCTGAGGCCACAAAGTCCAGGCGTGCCTGGCCGCGTCGCTGCAGCTCTCGCAGGAGAAAGTACCTCACGTCAATATGCTTCACTCTGCTCTCCAGTCGAGGCTCTCGACACAGGAGGATCATGGCCTTGTTGTCAGCGTACAAGGTCGGTGCAGAGCGAGGCCGCTCACCAAGGTCGGCGAGCAAGAAGGTCAACCAGCGAAGCTCCTGTGCCGCCATGGCACCAGCGTAGATCTCCGCCTCTGCACTGGAAGTAGCCACAGACGACGACCGTGTAGACCTCCACGACACAGCACCAGCTCCCAGACTGAAGCAGTAACCCTGAGTCGAACGCTGAGTCTCCACGTCGTCAGCGTAGGAAGAGTCGCAGTGACCAGTCAACGCCACTGGCTGAGTCCCTCCAAGCACAAGCCCCATGCCTGATGTAGTCGCCAGGTACTTCGCTACCCTCACAGCAGCTGTCCAGTGGACAGGGCGGTGTCTCCCAGTCGCAACAAAGCGAGAAAGGATGCTGAGGGGAAAGGCGAGGTCCGGTCGAGTACAAGTCATCAGGTACATGAGGCAGCCCACCAGCTCTGCGTAGGGTCCACTGGACTCAAAGGGCTCGTCAGGAAAGGGGCCCGTGAGTCTGTGGTCAACAGCAAGAGGAGTGGGCTGAGTGGTGGAGAATTGGAAGTCGAACCGCCGAAGGACCTGCTGCACCATGTGTGACTGCGTCAGTGTGATGGTGCGAGCGGCTCTGTCCCGGGTGATCTGCAAGCCAAGGTAACGCTGCAGCTCACCCAGGTCAGTGCACTTGTGTCTCTTCTGCAGTTCGGACTTCACCTGAGCCAGGGCTGCCCTGTCTGCTGTAGCAAACACCAAGTCGTCGACGTAGACAAGGATAAAGAAAGGGGTAGAACCCGCTCGAACAAACAGCGACGGGTCAGCGGAGGACGGGCTGAACCCAAGGTCACGAAGCGTGGAGCGAAGAGTGTCGTGCCACTCACGGGGCGACTGGCGGAGACCGTAGACTGGTCGCCTCAGGCTCCACTGGGTCCCAGGTGGGAAGGTGTCAGTGAAACCAGGAGGACGGCGCAGCCAGATCTCCTCGTGCAGTCGGCCCTGGAGGAACGCAGTGGAGAAGTCGAGGGAGTGCAGCTCGTAGTCTTGCTGCGCTGCTATGTGGAGTAACACCCGAAGAGTAGTCATCTTCGGGGTCGGGGCGAAGGTCTGGAAGAAGTCAACTCCCTCACGCTGACTGAAGCCCCTAGCCACGTAGCGCGCCTTGAACACCGGCGGTGCTCCAGGCGGCCGCTTCACCTTGAAGAGCCACATGCCATCGACTACGTTCGCCCTGGGAGGGGGAACTGCGTCGACGTAGGTGCCTGTGGATCTCCAAGACGCCAACTCTGAGTCCATAGCCGCTTTCCACTGAGAGGCCCACGCCCCTGACACTGCCTCGAGGTAAGTGCGAGGAGTCGGTATGTCAAGGGCGTCGGGGTCTCCCTCAGGGGAGAGCAGCATGGCACACACAGAGGGAGAAGCGGCTGCCCAGTACTCCAGCTCAGACTCTCTGTCCTCTAGGACGTCACAGCCAAGGGCAAACCCACCCCCGACGGACAGAGGACGGTAGGGAGGAGCTGGCACCACACGGGTGGCGTAGTCAAGGCGGCTGGCGGCAGCAAACTCAGCGACAGCGGCAGTAAGAGCGGAGGCAGACGACGGAGGGAAACGAGAGTCGGTGACAAGAGTGGCGAGGACACGTGCGGCAACAGGACGAACAGTGCGGTAGTAGTCAGTGATAGGAGTGGGGAGGGCTGGGAGAGAGGACGGAGGAGGAGACGGGAGAACGGACACAGGAGAAGGAGAACGACGACGAGACGTACAAAGGAGGGCAGTGTGGAGGTCAGTAACAGGGGACGAGTGACGAGCACGCGGAGGACAACGAGTGACCAAGTCGCGACGGACCGAAGGAGGAGGAGACTGGGGAGGAGGAGAAGACCAGACCGCCGGACGGTCGTCAGGAGGAGGCAACGGAGGAACAAACACAGGAGGAGACTGGGAGCGGACAGGAGGAGAGGAGGAAAAACCAAGGGCCCGCAGGCCACTCACAGGTGGGAACAACCGCCGCTCCAGAGGAAGCTGCGGTGGCGGCTGCGGCTGCTGCTGCTGCGGCGGCGGCTGCGGCTGCGGCTGCTGCTGCTGCGGCTGCTGCTGCGGCTGCTGCTGCTGCTGCTGCTGCTGCTGCTGCTGCTGCTGCTGCTGCTGCTGCTGCTGCTGCTGCTGCTGCTGCTGCTGCTGCTGCTGCTGCTCCAGAAGGTCCAGCACCCACAGCTCCTGCCGCTCCCTCTCCAACCGCTCCTGCTCCTCACGCTCGCGCCGGCGGGCAGCCTGGAGTCGTGTGTCGTGGCGGTGGGGAGGCGGAGTGGACTCCGCAGAACCAGGGTCAGACTCCTCAGACTCAGCACCCCCAGAACCAGCACCTCCAGTGCCAGGACCTCCAACTCCAGCACCCCCAGAACTAGCACCGCCAGTGCCAGCACCTCCAGCTCCTGCACCCCCAGAACTAGCACCACCGGTGCCAGCACCTCCAGCTCCAGCACCCCTAGAGCTAGCGCCACCTGCGCCAGCACCTCCAGCTCCAGCACCCCCAGAGCTAGCGCCACCTGCGCCAGCACCTCCAGCTCTAGCACCCCACGACCGAGTACCGCCAGTGCCTGCACCTCCAGCTCCAACACCAACCGAGCCCACAGTAACCTGTCGCGGAAGTGCCGAAGGCTGCTGAGGGGACTGTGAGGAGGACTGCGGGGAGGGAGACGCTACCTGACGCGCGACCGAGGGTAGAGGGGTAGCGTGGGACACACCAGACGGGGCAGGACCAGGGGGGGGCGGGGGTACCGGAGGAGCGGGAGCAGGAGGAGGAGAGGGTGCGAGGAAAAGAGGGGGAGGGGGTACCGGGAGACCTCGACAGGGGTACCGGGTGTAGTAGGACACGGACTCGTCAAACCGGACGTCACGGGAGTCTAGGAACTGGTGGAGGGGAGGGTGGTAAAAGAACCAGTCGGCAGAGTCCACTGGGAAACCAAGGAAGACACAGGGGACGGCGCGTGCCGAGAGCTTGTCCGCGGAGGTGTCGCGAACAAGTGCAAGGCAGCCCCAGACTCGAAAGGCCGACCCGACACCAGGGGAACCAGTCCAAAGACTGGTCGGTGAAACCTCGGGCCGCGAGACACGCGACTGGAGGTTCAGCTGGTGTGCGGCGTAGCGAACCGCGTGGGGCCACAGAAAATGGGGCGCACGGGCATGGATCATGGACGTGCGGGCGATGTCCATGACCAAGCCTATGCGGCGCTCAGCAACCCCATTCTGCTGTGGGGACTCTGGCAGCGTCCAGGACTGGGTGATGCCCTGTTCGCCGCAGAATCCGCCGAGAATGCCGGAGCGAAACTCGCCCCCACGGTCGGAGTGGAGACAACTGACTCGACGACCACGAGTGCCCTCAGTGGCTAGAAGCCACCTGATCAGCGTAGCAGTCACCTCGGACTTCTTCGCAAGAGGGAACACTGTGGTGTACCTGGAGAAGTCGTCGACGACCACCAGAAAGTAACGCTCCCTCCCAGGTCCCTGCGTCGGGGCAGGGCCCCAGACGTCCAAGTGGAGAGTCTCGAAGGGAGCGGTGGCCGGACGAAGGGAGGAGGAGTGGGGAGTGGCGCGTAAGCGACTGGCGACGCACGGAGAGCAAGGAGGGGCAAGCGAGAGAGGGAGCGACGGGAAGGTGCGTGGGAGACCTGAGACAAGTCCCTGACTGAGCATGCCACGTAGGCGAGGGATCGACGGGTGGCCAAGGCGGTGGTGCCACAGGACGGTGCGGTGGGTGAGAGAGCGACAGGAGCAAGACGCAGCGACTGGACTGGACACAGCTACCGGACCGGACACTACTACCTGGCTAGACACAGCAACTGGACTGGGGACCTGGGCCGGAGGGGACGCAACGACCTGAGGGGAGGACTCGACCGGGGAGCGCTCGGTGTGGAGAACGTAGAGACCGGAGCGAGGCTCCCTGGTGAACGTGGCCAGAACAGCACCTGTGGTAGCGTCTGTACAGACTGCAGTCTGCCCACCCCCCACGAAGGTAACCGTGATCCCCCTGTCCTGGAGGTATCCAACACCCACCAAGTTCCGAGTGAACGAGGGGATGTGGAGGCCGCGCAGGACACCAGAGGGGACCACAGGGCACGGGAGGGTGGTGGAGCTACGCGCAACGGCTGGTCCAGAGGTAGGATCAGCCAGAGCCACCGACACAGGTGTGAGGAGTGGTGTAAGGGTCGTGTGGTCGCGGAAGAAGCACTGAGACGCGCCCGAGTCCAGCGTGAACGACAGAGAGGCCTCAGCCGGAGGGTCACCAGACCCAGTCGCTACACAAGAACCTAGAGCAGCAACACAAGCACCTAAGCTAGACAGGCACAAG